TCAAGATAGAAGGATGCCAGGTGCGCCTTCCTCTCTTCTCGGATCGGGTGATTCCGGAACCACCTCTCAGCTGCATACAACCACAAACCCACATCTCCCGAGCCATCGAATTTGGGAAACTCTATCACCGGCGGTTTAGCTCTAAATACCAACTCCTCTTCAGTCTCATACAGAGGGTTATGATACTCGTACCTGCCTGCGTTCGGTGGGGGTGGTGGTCGATTTCCCGGTCCTTGACGGTAGTGGCTGCCCGCGGCTTGCGGCGGGGGAGGGTAAGGCCCGTCGCCCGTCATCTCCTGGTGATTCCCCTGGTACTCGGTTTTGGTCCCCGACCCTTGCCCGGTCTCCTGCCAGCCTCGACCGCGACCTCCTCTTGTCCGTGGAGTGCTCCACGGAGGGTACCCGTGCTCCGGGCCCCTGCCAGGACCCGTGCTCGGCCCATACCAGCTGCTGCCCGTCGGCGGGTGGCCCGGACCGGTTCGGTTCGGTCCGATCGGGTTCGGTCCGACCGGTTTTGGTCCGACCGGTTTTGGTCCGACCGGTTGCCCACCCTACGACCAGCCCGGTTTCGGCCCAGCGACCCAGCCCCATCTCACCTCCTCTGGGCTCGGCTCCATCCAACCCTCCGGATCGCCAAAACTCAACTCCTCCTCCTCGGGCCAGGGTTCTTCTCTGTCAGGCCCAAATGGCATTGGTTCGCCTTCGTACCCGGCCATCTTCTGCTTTCCTTGGGCCTTGTCTTGGGCCGGGTCCGTCGGAGTTGGCAGCAGCCCAGGCCCGCTGAATGCAGGCACGACTGCAGACCCGACACCCGAATTCCTCGGCGCGGCCGACCCCTGCGTCGTTCCGGCCTCAGCCCCGCCGCCCGGCGGCTGCTCCGCCGCCTTCTCCTCCCGGTGCGCGCGCGCCCCGGCCTGCCCCACGCCCGCGTCGCCGCGCGGCGCCCCCGAGCCCGCCGCGGTGGTCTCCGCCGGCTTCCCTCCTGCCGCGGCGGCTGCTGCCGCTACAACCGGAGCCGCCAGCGGCTCCTTGTTCTTCAGGACTTGGGTCAGCACCTCCTGCATTGTCGCCGCCAAGGCTCCACAGATGTTTTCAGCCACGCTCTTGCCCATCTCTTCGATGGACGCCTTGATTTGGTCGCCCATAGCTTCGATGGCTCCGATCGAGCCCCTCGAGGCCTCCGCTGCCCTCACAGTGACCTCGGTCAGACTTTCCAGCGACGGTGCCAGCGCGTCATACTTGTTGTTCGTGATATCCTTGACTGTCACCACCTCTGTGACCTGGCGCGGCGTCTGCTGTTTATCCGCGGGGTTCGACATCGTCAGACTGCAGTATTTCTTCAAAGAATCGGCACACCAGCCAGGCTCTGATACCACTGAAAGAGCACGGATCTAGGTGTGCGATTGATGATCGTGATTGGTATGAGAATTAGGGATTTGGGATGAGGTAGAATTGGGAATTTAGGGTTGAGAGAAGAGGTTTCCGGTCACCGGGATGGTGGCCGACGAGCTGGAGAGGAGAAGAGAGGGTTCGGCTATGATAGGGAGAGAGAGAGAGCTTTAGGGAATAATTCTGTTGTTATTGCTTAACCCTAGCTTATGCCTAACACAGAATATATATAAACCGACTAATTCCCTATAACTACCCAAAGACTTAACCTAACCGATTTAACCCCAATAGTTCCCAAAATGGCCGACATAATATAAATCGTCAAATAACAAATAAACCCCAAATTACTAAATGTCTGACAAGGTGGCACCACTTTTAAGCAATTGCAAGGATGTAGGGGTGCTTTCTTATTTAGCAAGATTGCTAAATAAGAAATTCATCTTGCAATGCCACATAGGATATCTTTTATTTTTCAATTTCTTTTTCTTTCTTTGTTATGTGGTAAGAAATTGTATGGGTCCACTATTGGCAATTGCTTATTGGTTTTAGGGATGTAGGGGTTTGGAAATTATTGCTTGATTGATGATGTGGCGATAAGGGCCCACTTTAGAAACTGAATCGCTATTTGCCGCCCGCCCCTTTACTATTTGCCGCCCGTAGTTACAAAAAATATGACGAATTTGCCCCTCCTTCTAACTAACCCTAAATCTTATCAAACTCATCCCTCACAACCTCCTCGCACAAACTGCCGGCGGCGGCGACCGCTGCTCCCACCGCCGACCCCTCTACTGCTCCCACCACCAACACCTCCATTCCTCCGACCTGGTCCGCCGACCCCTCCACAACCTCCCCTCACAAAATCGCGGACGTTGAAGAGGAAGGAGCTCGCCACGGGTGCTGTCGTCGCCGACGTAAAGGAAGGGGTCCGACAGCCGGACGCGGACGGGGTCCGACCGCCGGTCGCGGACGGGGTCCGACTGCCGGAAGCGGACGGGGTCCGATCGCCCTTCGCGGACGGGGTCCGAAATCCATCGGCGGACCGGTTCCAAAAACCGTCGGTTACTATTTTTTTTTCAAAAATCGTGTTTGAATTATAATTTATTTATTTAGTAATTAAATAAGTGTAAAATACCATAATTAGGATTTAAATAATTATAAGTATGATAATTAAGCAAATTGAAGAGAATTTTTTAAGGCGAGTTTTCGAAAGAGAAAATTGAGTAATAAGTTTTCGGAAGAAAATTTCCGTAATTAACAATATATTATTTTGATTATATAATACATCTAATGATTATCATTTATTAATATATTAACATCCCAATCCAAATAAGTTAACAACTCAATCCACTTATGGTAGTTGATTGAGGGAATTAGGGTTTGACTTAATAAGGGTTTGACCCGAATTAAGGTTTGATTTAATTAGGGTTTGACCCGTATTAAGGTTTGACATAAGTAGGGTTTGACCCGAATTAGGGTTTGACTAAATTATATATTATTTTGACCACAGTTGTTTGAGGGAATTAGGGTTTGACTTAATTAGGGTTTGATCCAAATTAGGGTTTGACTTCTATAGGGTTTGACTTGAATTAAGGTTTGATTTATATAGAGTTTGACCTGAATTAAGGTTTGACATAATTAGGGTTTGACTTAATTAGGGTTTTACCCGAATTAGGGTTTGACTAAATTATATATTATTTTTTACCACTGTTGTTTGAGGGAATTAGGGTTTGACTTAATTAGGGTTTGATCCGAATTAGGGTTTGACTTAATTAGGGTTTAACCACAGTTGAAATATAATTTAGGTACGTTGATCTTATTAAATATGAAATAAATACAATTAAAAACATAATTTATACACTACTTCAGATAATTTGTAATTATTTAACATACTATAATTATTTAATTGGTATTATACTGAATTTATTTATTTTAGCTCTATTTACATAATTATAAAATGAGTATGAATTAGTTTGTACAATATTTTTTATTATTTTATTTTATTTTTTATAAATGCACGGTCCGCTCGCCGGCGTCGGACGGGGTCCTCCCGCCGGCGTCGGACGGGGTCCTCCCGCCGGCGTCGGACGGGGTCCTCCCGCCGGCGTCGGACGGGGTCCTCCGCCGGCTGTGATGATTTGGTTCTGGCCGCAGTGGTGATCTGGCGGTGGTGGCGACATCGGCGATTTGGTGGTGGCGACGTCGGCGATTTGGCGGCGGTGGTGGACTGGCGCCGGTGACAGCAGGAGTGGCGGGGTTTGTTTTATAAAAAAATGAACAAAGGGTAAAAATGTCATTTTAGTTTAATTTACGGGCGGCAAATAGTAAAGGGACGGGCGGCAAATAGTAACCCTCCTTTAGAAATTGCTTATTGATTGCAGGGATGGAGATGGTCTAAACTATTAACAACTGGTGCGGTATGGTTTGGCTTTAACCTCAACCCAAGAGAAAGAAGAGCGGGTAAGCCAGCCTTGCGGTCACAATCACAAACTTGCATTGCGTGATGGACCTAAGAGCTGCAGTAACCCTAGGATAATGGTAGCTAGGGTTTCCCTGGGCTGACCAGGATATCTGGGTCTCCCACCCAGCTGTGTACATACTGATACTAGTGCCACTGCCACCATATAATTGAACGCATCTATCCAGATATACATCCGCCGTCTGCAGAGCAGATGAGATCAACTAATTAAACCAAATCTAAGTGGCCGGGTTAATTACTACGTATTAAGGGTTAATTGCACCGGCTGTCACTTAAGTCTACTATTTGTTGCACGGTGACCACCTAAGTGCGTTTTGTTGCACGGTGACCACTTACGTCAAATAAATGTAGCAACGTCACCATTTCCGTCACTTTAACTAACTGCAGGTACCGAAACATAATTTTCCATGCCATGTCAACTTACCACACCAGCTAGAAACGCTGAGTCAGACTTGGCCCATATTAATATATTTCATAATTAATGCCTGACTAAACTGACATCTATGTATGGGTATATAAGTAGCATTTCAAAATCGAGGTCTTGTAGAGTTAAGATAATCTGAAACTTGCTATAATATGGGCTTATGCAGTTGATGATTTTGTGTTTGTTGTTACTTGCTATAAAGTAGGATTATATCCTGCTGGAAACCAAAAAAGTTGCAGGTACATAAACAACAAAACTTCATAGCCATGTTCTTGTGTTGTAGGTCCATTTAACTTCGTGTTGCAGGATCTCTCCCCTCTCCTTGTGCTGCAGGTCCGCGTGATGCAGAAGGCACGTTCGGCCTCCCCTCTCCTTGGGCAAAGCAGGATTGATGTCCCTCCAACATCTAAACATGAGATGAGAAATATTCGGTTCATTAAAATCATATACATAATCTCAAATAAAGTTATTGGTTGCCTCAATCGTAAAGAGTTAACTGAAATATCACCTGAGATTGACTACTTTGATGTGATGGAAAAGAAGTTGAGCTGAAACTTTGGCTTAAGGGATGCATAGGACGAGTCCGGCTACTTCCCTGTTGACTTACAATCAATTAGAGTTCTCTCACGATACAAACAACATAACAATTGAAGAACCAGCTAACCGTACATCAGGCATCCACTGTAAAACAACACCACCCGTTGATGATCTTTGGATAGACTGTGATGCTGCTTGTGCTCGACCTGCTGCTTTGTGTACTGCTGCTTGATGTGTTGATGCTGCGTGTGAACTAGTAGCACCAACACAAGAATTTCCACCATCTGATGCAGAACCTGTCCCTGAGCTTCGTCCGTTGTTACCTTTAGAATGAAATGACTTATTATGTCCAGGTTGCTTACATTCACTACAGCAAATGGTTCCCCCCTTGCCCTTTCTACTCATCCTCTCGTTTCCATCTCTGAACTTACGTTTCTGTTTTGCAGGACCTGATGTCTCCTCAATGCCTCCTTTTTGTTTGTCGCCTTCCTCGTTTTTTGTTTTTTCCGAACTCACATATGGTGGCAGCACATGCTCTCTTCCATTGTGAAATAGTCATCGCTAACTCCTAACATAACAACAACCATCTTGTAAACAAATGTGCTAAAAGAATACAACAGCTACAAGAAAAATTGCAGCAACAATGAAAAACCATAACTCTCCATAAGTTGGTATATGATCGAGCTCTCCAACTTCCCTAATGGTTGATTGCATTTTCTAATAGATTATAATAGACTCTGCATATACACGAAGAAAGAAAATCATAATAGGGGAATAAAGAAAGAATGAATAACTTAAGAATGCATATACTGCAGGGGTACGGGTTAGATTACCACACTAGAAACAAATAAACTTTCAACGTCTATGGAAACTTTTACGCCTCAGCCGATTCAACGCTACCAAGACTTGTTGGTTGCTTCATTCTTTGGAGAAAGAAAGGTATACGCCGCTGCTGCTGCTTGCGATTTGGAGAAGAGGAAAGCTGAACAGCCGCTGCCGCTGGGAAGAGATTTTTTTTGCCCGTAAATTGCTTAGCAAGTAAGAGGCCCATTCTATTTAGCGGGCCAGATCTGACTCAGCGTTTCTAGCTGACGTGGTAAGTTGACATGGCATGGAAAATTATGTTTCGGTACTTGTCGTTAGTTAAAGTGACGGAAATGATGATGCTGCTACATTTATTTGACGTAAGTGGTCACCGTGCAACAAAACGCACTTAGGTGGTCACCGTGCAACAAATAGTAGACTTAAGTGACAGACGGTGCAATTAACCCACGTATTAACAAATGATCAGTTGAAGCTAATTAATTAAGAAGAAAAGGGCAGATAGCTAGAGCTATATATTTATATATAGCTGTAGCTAGCTAGGGAAAAGGAAAGAGTAAAGTACAATTAATTAAAGAGGACTCCACTCCACTCCACTATCGAAGCAGGGCAGGATTAAGGGGAGTGTGTGGCTCTGGCTGGCCGCAGGGGCAGAGCTCGCTGTTCATGGGAACTTGCTAACTACTGTTTCCTTTTTCACTAAATAAACATTAATTAAGAGCCAAAAGTAACCCCCACCGGCAACCAAACCCAACAACATGTCCATTTCTATGTATTCAAATCTACTCATTAAGAAGATTTTTGTAAAATAATTAATATTAGAATAGAAGAGAATCTCTGAATAGAACGGAAGAGAAGGGGAAAGAAAATGGGGTAGGAAAGGGAGCTCCCTTCAGTCCAAGTACAGGAAGCTTAAGATCCAATTTGTCTCCCGCATCATTCACTCATTTACTGTACGTGCTGCAAACAAATCCCATTCTCCCAAAAGCAGCATTTCGTTATATCCTTCTTCCTTCTGTAGCAAGTAGATAGCGCAGTATTTGGATGAATGAGTCGGCAGCTAATTGAACCTCACTGCTCCCCGTTAGTGGACTGAAGAAAGCTCCCTCCCTTTGCAAGTTTTTCCATGTTCCCTCCCGCACACTCAAACCCTAAATAATGAAAAGCTTCTTCCTCATATGTAATGTAAGAATGAAACCCTCGTGGCGTGGGTTCCCGTGGAGGATGGAATGGAACTCTCATTGGCTAGCTAGCAGCTTTCACGAAAACCTCTAAGTGATTATGAACTTATTATAGCACTCAACCCTAAAGAAAGAGACCGTGAAAAACAAAAAGGAAAGACAAGGCAGGCAGTTAATAAATAAAAGGAGAGGAGCTTTGAAAGTTTAGAGAAAGCGACTGCTGAAAAAAGGAGATGTTAGATGAAGAACAACAACTCCAGATCAAAAATAGACATGCGTTGAAGAGAAAAGGAGAGAGAGAGAGAGAGAGAGAGAGAGAGAGGTGATGAATGGAAGGGGATGGAGAGTATGAGTGGGGTTTATATATATATATAAAAAGCTTAATGGAAGGGCAGAGAGGCAACCAGCAAGCAAACAAGCATCAGACAAGAACAGGTTGGGGCCTCATTGTTAGATTATTTTTATATTAAAAGAAGAATGCACAGCATCATCATGATATTATTGAATATTTTTCCCATAACCATTTTTCTTACCAGAAATATTTTGTTTCATTCTTTTCTCGAAACCAATAATCGGGGTGTTTCCCTAAATAATTATTAAATGAAAAACTCTAATATGTTGGGCTATTTGTATCTCGATAAATTAGAATTATTGATTATTGGTTTTAATGTATATGATCTTAGCATTTAAGGTTTGGAGAATTAGGATCTACCTAGGATTACACACTGATCAAGTATCTTCAGTAAGAAAACCCTCTTATTGTTTTAAGTCAATCAACAACCATTGTTGTTTGAGGGTTAGATGAAGGCAAGCATTGGAATGATAGATTTTTTTTCTTACAATGTTTGGAATGATAGATTGATCCACACTATTTGTAAGATGAAGAACTGAGTGTCTTGGTTCAAATCTTGACACAAGATCCTGCAACGAGACTCACGCATTCATTGAGGACATGAGTCAAATTTGGATAATTGAACTATCATTAGTTGATATGTTGAATGTTCAAAACTTTTAAGGCAATTTTATTATAGGTTTGGGCAGGAGTCAATATTTCTTGATTGACTAATTGGATGTTTAACTCAAAACATGTACATTACTTACATCAACAAATAAAAACCATTGACTTAGTAATCTGTGTTTGGTTGATAAATTATCTAATGATGAGCAAATGTCTCATAAAATTCGCATTATGTTCGCAAGCAAGAGACCAATAAATTTTTTAGTGAATTAGACAATATTAAAGAATCAAATAAATAAAAATAATTTAAGCAGTGAGATCATCATGATTACCATAAATAATAATTGAAACGCAATTGGCCATTGAGGGCATGAGTCTAAATTTGATAATTGAACTATCATTAGTTGATATGTTAAATGTTGGAAACTTCCAATGCTATTTTTTTTATAAGTTTGAGCAGGAGCCAATATTTATTGATTGACTAAATGGATTTTTTACTCAAAACATGTATTGCTTACATCAACAAATAAAGAAAAATAGACTTAGTGCTCCGTGTCTGGTTGATAAATTATCTAATTACGAGTGAATGTCTCATAAAATTTGCATTATGTTCGTGGGCAAGAGACCAAAAACATTTTAGTGAATTAAACAACATTAAAGAATCAAATAAATAAAAATGATTTAAGCAATGAGATCGTCATGATTACCATAAATAATAAGTGAAACTCGATTGGCCAACAACCGAACACAAAACTAGTGAAAGATATAATAGTAAATTCCTTCGTTATTCTGCACGGAGACACATAAGTAATATGACAATTAAGCGTATGCGGAAGTCATGATACACATGGTTATTAAATTTGATTCCAAATACCAATCATTCGAGAAAGTGTCTCTTTATGAAAGTATGATAAGCTTTTATATCTACACGAAATCTCTAATTTTAGGTGAACAAGCGCTTAGTCTAGTGGTTCTACCACTGATCTTCAATTTGAAGATTCTAAATTCAAATCTCTTATGTACATCACCTAATGTTAAAAAACACACACTAACATATGTCATCCTGGAAAAAATATTCTCTATTTTCATTAGGAAAAAACAAAACTTATCTCATGAACGGACCTGGTATAAAACTAGTAATTAGTTAACTATGATTTTCTATTCTCAGACCATCCATCTGCCAGCCGCTTGCATTATAAAAAAGGAGCATATTCCTTATTCATTTTCCTTTCTGTATTTGTGTTTATTTAACATTGTAAGATTGTTTAATGTTATATAGTACACCTGGTAACGCTGGACATTGTACTTATATTGTAGCCCCCATTTTCTAGGTTTTCACTATTCCATGACATAATGATCCTCCGATCATTCTTTATTAGAAACACGTTCATTACTAGTTTCGAAAGAAAAACACGTTCATTACTTAAAAAAAAAAACGTTTTTAGCTCCAATCTTGGTCGAAGGCTGTAGCTCCAATAAGCCATATGTTAGTTTCCTATTACTAAGTTCAGCTTCATATTTTTATATTTTAATGTTCTTAATTGTTCCTTAAAATTAACCAAAAATTAAATTATCAAAAAATGAATGTGAGTCTACAAATAACAAATTGACATGTGGATGGTTGGAGCTTCTGCCTCCAACAAAGGTTGTAGCTAAGTATGAATAAATCATTATTATATACATGTAGATACTTGCTTAGTATGGATACATTTAGACGTCAGGACCCCATTGTTACGAGATTCACCTTTCATTAACAATATGATACACACAAATCCCTTCCAGCTCATGTCATCGAAGCTCCGCTCAGTGATCGCCAACCTCATCACGTTCCCAATGCCGACGATCGCTGCATTCACGGGCCACGCAGTCGCGTCGACATCAGGCTGGTGGTCTTGGCATGGTTTATGGCGGTGCTCAAGTGTAAGATGGGGAACGCGGATGCGGCGGCGAACGAGGGATTGTGTACACGATAGCGCGGCGACGGCGGTTGAATTGGGGGAGGAGCTAGCGAGGAGGAAGTGGAACGCACATGTGTACGTTATTAAATTGGGTAATTGTAATGAATTTTTATTTTTTATTGTTAAAATGAGGTAGAAATTAAAAAGATTAAGTTTTATTTTTTTAAGGGTTATATGTATAATATGTCCCTCTATTATACAATTTTTTCAAACATGCTCCTCTACTTTGAATCACATCAAACATGCCCTTTTACCATCAACTAATTCTCAAACATACCCTTCCGTTAGTTTTTCCATCCAAAACTGTTAAATCCGGTCCAACCAACATCTGCCCAACGAAATAAGAATGTAAAAGACACTTTTATCCTTTTTGTTTCTAACCTATCGACTACCCTTCCCCCACACCCACCCCTAAATCAAGCTTGTCGAAGAAAAAGAAAAGCCCCTTCCCTCTCCTCCCCCGTTTCTAATCCCAACTCCTCCCCCCAAATGTTTCCTACACCAATCGACATTAGCTAGTGCTCTAATCCTGTCCGATTTAGAAATTCCCCTTTCCAAATCTAA